CCCCCCCAATATTCCTTGCTTGATCACTCCATAACTAAAAAATGCGGGTGTTTTCGCTCCAAAGGAGCGCAACCTCCAATGGTCCCAATCCCCAGGCTTGATGCCTGCCTCTTCCTCCACCCGGGCGGAGAGAAGACTGTCAGAGCTTGGCTCAGCGGTCTGCCCTTTCCCTTCAGTTTACCCTGTTTAAATCAGGCCGAGCTGTCCTGCGGGTTTCTGAAGCATCACCAGGGTCCAATCGTGGTAGCAGCATGCAGGGTTTAAAAAAAAAAAAAGTGGGCAGAGTCTAATACTCTGTTCAGTATTTACTTTAACAACAACAGTAGAACATTAAGGAGTGAGGCGTAACTTCTACCCATTTTGTTTTCCTGGAAGGAGTTGGTTTCTGTGGGATTAGCCTCAAGAGAGTGTATATTCCCCGTGTGTTTCAGCTGCAATACCACTTGCACATTTCCCAGATCGAAGCAGTTGGGTGGGACTGATGGAACCGCAGCCCCCAACAGCCTTGTGTTTTAAACGCTTTACCTGGTGTCTGACAGAAGGAGAGCATAAATCCAACTGGAAATAAAGGGGGCTAAAAGCACACAAAGGTTGCCTTCACACTAAAAGTAAACCTGGTTACTGAAGAAACCCATTTGCTGAGTTTGTACAATACGAATATAACCAAACTGGATGGGTTGGCCCACAAAGCTAAGGTAAAGAAAGGTTAGTACTGTCTAAGCTTAGTGTCTACCAATTCTTGCCTGGTCTGGCTAAGCATACTGTGTGAACTCAGCCAAGAAATTATATTTATCATCATCACTGACTGGGGAGGTGTCTTAGGCTGCAGTCCTCCAAACATTTATTTGGGAGTGAATACCATTGAACTAAATGGGAATAAGCTCCACTGAACTCCCCATAGAGAGGTTTAGGAAGGTCACTCACTTATGGTTTTCTCAGATGAACTACACATATATTCTTAAACTTGAGTTAGCTTGATTTAGAACAGCAGATTTATATTTTATTGACAGACATTACATTTTTAATTTCTAAGAAAAATAGTTCAGTTTACTCTAAATTTCTACTAGGAAAGATTATTTATATTAACTAAAACATGAATGGGGATCCCCTTTTCATTGGATACTTTTTAGTAATTTTCAGCCTGTTTAATTGGTCTGAAATGTTATTTATGACAATAAGACCTAATATTTTCTCCCGATAAATACCTTAAAAATATATATTACAAAGTTTTTAACCCCCCCCCCCATAGCTGAGTTGGATTTAATTAATTATGGTCCTACTCAGAATATGCAAATTAATAAAAATATACTAAATATATTTATAACAATGTTTCTGTTCCCCCCTTTAGAATTATACAACATTGCATGGTTTCTTTCAAGTGAAAGAAAGTATGGGTGACCACAGGTTAAATTAAATTTGATATTTAATTGAAACTTATAGATTTATCTTCAAATATACTTTGGATTGGATTGCTAAATTCTGTTTGAACTGTTCGGGCAGGTAGTCGATTTAATCTGTCCCTGCAAAATAGCCAAGTTTGTTGTGGTGCTTTTGCTAATTTGTTTGGTGATGAAATTTTTGTGGATGCACCCGATAGAGGCCTAGAACACACGAACCTTTATTTTACAATACATCTGAAAATGAAATAAGGCTCTTCATTGTCTCAATTTACTTCCAAATAAATACGCACAGGGTGGCCCTGCATACCTCGTACTAGGTGCAGTCAGTGCAGAAATGAAGCGGGTGTAGATTTCAGTTAGTACTTCCCTTCTGCCGCCTTTTAAATAGGATTTGGGCCTACGCGGTTCTCACGTGAAGTCTCCAAAATCACCTTCCAAGCCATTCCAAAAGAGGGTCCGCAATTAAAAGGCACGTAAAGTATACAGCATGGTGAGCTGTCTGTCCTGAAAATATTAAGAGTCAGGCTGATTTAAATTCAGATGGCCCTGAAAATGGGCGGCTGTCGATAACAACCGTTAAAAACTGAATGTGAAACCAACTCGACTGGTTCTAATGAAGGCAATTTATTATTTCCCAGGAAGCTGCCCTAATTGACGTTAGCCTCCGGTGCCTTTTGCTGCAAGGAAGCGCGAGGTCCGTCGCGCGAACACGCCGGCTCTTTAAACAGACCCCGCCGCCCCCGGTGGCCTCGCGCTACTTTTGCAGAGCTGTGCTCGCGGTGGGGGAGGGGGATGAATTCCCGCCTTTTCCCAGCGTGTTTTTCTGCCGAGTGACTGACTTTCACCTTGCTTCCTTCCCCCAATTGTTGCACGTGTACGAACACCCGCGTGGAATTTAGGCCTGAGGAGAAAGCAACGAGAGTAGCCGTGCCCGCACAGGCGGACAGTATGAAAAGCACGCGCCCTTTTCTAAGGGAGGCACGTGCGCATGAAACGCGGCAGAGTGGCAGAGAAGAGCAAGCGAGTTACGCTTCGGGCGCCTTTTGCATTGAAGAGAAAGCGCTGGCTTTGATGATTAGGGCTTCTGTGGGATTTTCTGTTCTTCCTTCCCACACGGGAGTGCGGAGGCAGCCGCCGTAGTCGCTTCTCCTTTCGGGTTAGGCTTAGCGCTTTTAGGCTGTTTATTTGCCCGACTGCCCTTTCATATTCCTCCCCCCTTTTTTTTTATTCCTGCAGGTGGGTGCGAAGAGAGTTTCTTAAATGGTACGTCGCCCCCTCTGACTCCTGGAGGCCCCGCCAAGGCTGCCTCGCCTTCGCTTATCCCGCAAGTGCCTCGGGTGGACCTGCAGGGCGCGGAGCTCTGGAAACGCTTTCACGAGATCGGCACCGAGATGATTATTACCAAGGCGGGAAGGTAAACGCAGGGCGAGTCGTCCGACTCAGCGGTTCAAAACTGCAGTGCCACTAAATCTGAGGATCTGCGCAGCTCTGAGACGCGCGGTGGAATTTGTTCCGTTTGGGTAGAAGGTTTTACAACCGAATTACATTTCCTTAGAATACGGCGGTTACATGTTGCTCTTCAAAATTCGGTCACAGAACCAACTCAGTTCCACCCGGGCATATTTCGTTGGTGGGTGGGTCTCCAAATAAATGAACAATTAATCATGGAGTTCTTTTAAATGGCGTTAACTAAGAAACGCTCATGCATCCTCTCCATGTTGATTTGGAAGTAAATCTTAAAGTAAGAATATGTTTTGCAATGACACACCAAATCAAAAAGCAAACTACTTCCAAGCAAATCTGTTCAACAACAGATATATTCAGAATTACAGGGATTGTATGTACATTATTTGAGTTAGTTACTATACTCTTATATTGTCCAAAATTAGACATAGATATATTTTAAAATAAGTGACACAGATTTTAGGAATACTCCTAAAAATGAAGTTCTTTTTCCCAGCTAATCACTGATCTAGAATATATTACTTGGAAAGGCCATTGATTTGAAATTAGTTTATTGGCAATGATAATCAATCTGTTTTTAAAAAGTCTAATATTAGCTATGGCTTGAAATAAATCTCTTTTGTTTCTATTTTTTTTTTTGGTTCAAATCAGTGAAAATATTTCATTTACCATTTCTAGCATCCTGAGGTATGAATAAGATTCCTCTAGATGGTTTTTGATAGAAAACCATAGACATACCAAATCGAAAAGGTATAAAGTACCATAGAATACTTTATATTGTATCAAGCATTTTTCATGCTCAAACTTTCACCCCTATGTTAATTAAATACAAACATTTAATACTGTGAAATTTAGATGCTTAAATTATCTTAACATGTAATAATATTTAAGAATGGTGGGTGCAAATCCAAATTGCTGATAAAGATTAATTTAGCAAATTCAGATTTATAAAGCTGGATAGACCATTAGAATTGTAGATGATGCAGAATGTGAGGAATGGTAGACTTCCTGTTCATTATTTTAAAAAATTACATTCTCCTAAAAATAACTTCCTTTCTAAAAAATGCATACACTATGATAAAAACCTGCACTGTATAAATGTATCTGAATTTATTAAAAATTGCAACACAAGGCAGCGTTTGTCTTAAAAAATTTCTCGTCAGATAGGTTTTCTTTTTATCTCATAGGCGTGCTAAAATAATGACAAGAACTAGTTAGCCACATCTAGTTTTGTTTCTTGCTTGTTTTAAACATGTTAATGTTTATTGTTAATAATTTATTAATTATTATTAATCAATTATTAATGATGTTAATAATTTTATTATTTCTAGAATTTAACTTAGATTTCATAGTTTTGGAAAAGATTGAGAATTTTAGGAAAATAGAATTGTATCTATGTTCTTTTATATGAAAATAAAAAGATACCGTATTCTTGTTATAAAATTCCTTTAATACTAAAACAGATATTACTCAAGAGCCGATTTGAAAAATACATTACAGTACTTCATAACATTCCAGAACCTATAGTGACTTCAGTTAGGCATTAGCAAAATCGCACTGTAGATTTTTGATTCCTCTTTTAATGAAGTAATTTTATAATACCTATTAATATAGTACTTTCATAATTCTTTTTACTTAAAAAAAATGGGACAGATAAGTCACAATTGTATTTATACGGAAGTAAACCCCATTTGTTTTGTTGGAATTTGTTTCTAAATATATACATTTAGGATTGCTACCTTCATGGATATATATTGTGTATATATGTATGTAATTTGGGTGTAACCATGTTTTTGAGTTTATGCATACATACACGCACACGCATGCATACACATACCCCCCCACACACAAACTTTATAAGCAATACAAGCCTGTCCTGGGAAAATCATCTGTAAAGCCATGCTTATTGTTTCTGTAACATACACTGCTGAAAAGGTGACTGATGCTATAAACTCTCACTATGCTAATTATTAGAAGCAGCTGATAGACATCATTGTTCCTTTCCTCTGACAGGACTGATAGTTTTGATCATCTTTTTACTTATGAATTTAGGTTTGTGTGCATGTATGCATGCAATGCCAGAAGGAAAATTTTCATGTTCAGGGCACTGTGACATGGAAATAGAGCTGTATCTATTTACTTTAGAGAAAACATTTTGAGGATCAGAATGGGAATATGAAAATTGTATTTGTAAATAGTTGAAGCTGCTACTTCAGCCTGTGATATGAGTTTTAAAACTGTTAGAGCACAATCTCAAAGCAAAAAATAACTTGCAAATTCACATCTAGACTTGACTTATGTGGGGCTGAGTTTGTTCTTTGAAGGAGTTTCAGTAACAAACAAAACAACGTGTAAAAGTAGATAGATAGATAGATAGGATTGTTTTGTGAGCGAGCTAATTTAAAAAGAAAAAAAAAATCCTGCAGATAATTTTAAATGAGAAAGGGTTGGGGGCTGTACTTCAATCTTGTTCCTGGTTTTCTGTCCTAAGTCTGTTTTTTATTAAATACTCTTTCAATATTCAGACGGATGTTTCCTGCAATGAGAGTGAAAATTTCAGGCCTAGATCCTCATCAGCAGTATTACATTGCTATGGACATTGTTCCTGTAGACAACAAAAGATACAGGTAAAGTAACAGTAATATTTAACACATGGGATGATGGGAACTGCAAAAAATATGGTTTATTTGTAAAATAACAAAGATTGTTCTTAACTCCCTTCCAAATTCCTATCTTCTTTTCACCCATGAACAATCCCAATGTTGGTGATTGTTTTTTGTTTTTGAGCTGATTTGTACATTTGGTTCATATATTGAACATCCTCTAGGTTACTCAAATTATTTTTTCCTATCATGTAAGCAACAGTCCTTTAGCCCCTTACTTGGGATTAGGCTCACTGTAATTAATAAGACTGAAGTGAGGTGGATTGTCTTTAGTGTTTGCAAATCACTTTGCTAGTCCAGTTGAGAACAACACTGTGAATGAATATGGAGACTACTCAGTGGGCTAAAGGTTTTGGGTATACAAGGCAACTGTGATTTGCCTGTTTGTGGCATGGAAGCAATGTTCTTTACCTCATCAAGACACAAAGGTGATGTGGTATGCCTCATTCAGATCTTGGCATCTTGACTGGCAGTTTCATTAGGAACAGCACAGAAGCCTCTTCCAGCTAATGGAAATGCTGGAGGAGGCTGCAAAAACTAAAAGAAGCAAAGTGGTTGCTTTGCTTTAGCCATAAAGAGGGGGTGGGGTGGACTTTGCTTCATGAAGCAGTTATAATAAGATGCTTTACATGAGCTTTTGTTGATGTAAAGCATCCCTTTAAAGCTCATACCAGGTCTTTGCATTAAAAAGAGAGGGAAATGGGAGACATACTGGCTAATTTTAATACCTTAGATCTGCCTTGAATTATTTCAAGATGGATCTTTTATTGCACAAGTTTTACTGCAGGAGGGATACATTTTCAAGATTGAGTCTACATGGCCATAATATGATTATGATTACTCCACTGGATATTGGTTGTCCTCTTCTCTCCTTGTTTCTTGGTTAGAAATTATAGCCTCCCTGCTCACCTGCTGTTATTTAATGCCAAGCCATTACATATCTGGATGGGAATGTAAACTTGTCTTGTACTACAAAGATCTGTTTGCAAAAAGCTTGAGTTAATTTTTCCTAGCATTGTCCTTCCGTTTGTTGTTTTGTTTTTGCAGCAATAGAGATAGATGTATAGCAGTTCACTTTCATGCCATCCCCAGTAGCAAAGACATAGCCAAGATAGTTCAGTTACTCCTGTGTACCCTTGTTTCATGGAGCTAAGTAGATGTCCTGAGATAGATAGATAGATAGATAGATAGATAGATAGATAGATAGATAGATGTTTTTAAATGGAGATCATAGCTGAAGTGATGTTGGTGAAAGATTTGAGAAAGGTAGGACAGAAGCCTATTTTAAAAACTACTCCAAAAGAGTAATGGCAACAAAGATAATTTTCTTCTCTATCACTGTGGTATGCACACTAGTCAGGTAGTAGAGCTTTTTCAGATATACATGGATCTATACTTGGGTGTCCAAGAAATAATGAAGCTGGCTCAGTAGCTCAGTTAAGCAAAGGATTTTGCAGATAAATTCATTAGACTTGAATAGTATATTCATTAATATAAATTCATTAGACTTGAATAGTATAATTAGTGGAGTTGAGTGGAGTTCTATTTTTCTGTAATTTTGATGGATATTTTTCAGTTTATAGAGCCCAAAGAGGTAGGGAAAATTCTGGAAAAATAACATATACCATGTGCATCCTTGAATGGTTCAGCCACGTCCTTCTTGGTCTATAAAAGCAAATGGAAGGAAGCTAGCCAAGTGGGAAAGAAGAGTTTTTGAATTCCATTATGTTGTGTAATTTCCAGGTTTTAATATACCATGTTTAGGAGTATATAATGGCATCTAATGTACGTTTGCTTCCCTTGGGAGTACAGATTACTGAGATTCATTTGAATCTGGGTTGACACTCATTATGGGTTGGAAATGCTTTTGACTGTCTTAGTAGATGTTCTTCAGTTGGGAATTTGATAGGGGAGTGAATCCCTTGTGGCTCCTCTTGACCTTTCATCAGTTCTAAGCAGCATGAAGTATGGTTTCCCTTTGAAAATCCTTTGCTTTCCACCTTGGTGTTACCACTATTTTGATGATACCTAGTCCTATCTGTCATAATACAAAGTAATGTTGATCTTTTGAAACACAGTTTGGTATTGCTAATGGATTGGATGAGGGCAAACAAAATAAAAACAAGATCTAGCTGCTCTTGGTCAGTAAAAAGTCAGATGAGGGAATTGGGGTTCAAATACTTAGTCTGAGGATATCCCTAGATTCATGCATAGTTTGGATACTTGGCTTTCATTGGTAGCCAGGAGTCCTTTGCTCAGCTCCAAATATGCGTGTTACTTAAAGTGTCTGACTTGACACTGGTAACACCTGGTATAGTTACACCTGGATTAGATCACTACAATACATTCTGTGTAGGGTTGCCTTTGAAGACTGGAAACTTCAGCTAACTTAAAATGCCGCAGCCAGGCTGTAGACTGAGACCAGTTATAGAAAGCATGTGACTCTTTAGCTACAGTACTTACATGGCTGCTGGTTTGGGGGCACAATTCAGAGTGCTTGTTATAAAGTCTTAGATTGCATAAGGACAGTTTATCTGAAGAATTATCTTGTCTGAGATGAGTTGCCTGGCTGTCAGGTTCTTCTAAAGCAGGCTCTTTCTCTATCTCACCCAGACTTTATATGCATTTGGTGGGAGTTAGAGAAAGAGCCTTTTCAGTGGTTTGTACACATTTGGAACTCACTAGTGAAGAAAACCTATCCTGGTTGATAGCTGTGTACTAACATGCAAAAATATTTTTACTCAAACAAATATTTGATCTATAGAGCCAGAATGTCTCTTCTGCTGCTCTGTATTTGAACCTTTATTTCAGCTTAATAATAATTTATCAGGCTCTTGTCTTTATATGTTTATGTCATTCTACTGATTTTTAAATAATTTCATGTTATACTGTATTTTAACCATGGATGTTACTGTTAACCATCTTGGATATATAATTAAATTACATACAATTAATACGTCTTTCTGATTTCTAGTATGGAAAGTACTAGAATAGTTTGGTTCAGTTCTTTAATATATGCCATTGTTTCTATGAAATTGTTTGTGATACTTAGTGAATAGCTGTCAATAACATTTATTAAATATGTTAATGTAAGATTTCAATCATGTAGACCTTTGCCAAGGTGGTATATAACTGTACAAATATTCCCACTAGAATTCCTAAATTTGTAGGAAGGGAAACACAGTGAATGCTTTCAGAAAATTACAAATTTAAGAAGCTACCCATTTGTTTCCAGAATACATTTGCTGTAAAATTAGGCAAGTTTTACACATTCATTTCTCTGGGGAAAAGATTGTGTTTTTTTATTGGAAATAAAACCATTGTTTGAAAAATGTAATAATGGGTTCATTTAAAAAAAACCCAAGTTATTGAATATAAGAATATAACTTCCTTATATTTATTCTCCTATCTCCAATCCTGGTTTATCTTTTGGTTTTATAAAGAGGCCCAATCCTGCATTTCATGTGTACTGAAACTTCATGCTAATTGATTCTAGTGCATAATATTAGTGGTAATGCTTTTTCTGGGTCATTTATTATAACAGCTGAGAAATCTCAGTCAGCATATAAGGGTCAAAACAGATTAATAAAAAAATTCTGAATGTGAATTGCACTTGATCATCTTCAGTTGCAGATCTTAAATATGTTTTCTAGATAATCTTATTCAGTAGGATTTCTTTGTTTAGGATTGCTCTGCCCATCATGAATGCAAATATATTTGCAGGTTTTACACAAAGAGCCATATTTCTAAACTAACGTTAGCCTAATTTTTAAAATATTTTTTTTCACTACTGGCTTCAGTGAAACTTAAGTTCACAACTCATACAGATAATTTCTCATCCACATTTAATTCTGCATAGAAATAAAGATGTTAAATAGTTTGTTCTGAATAAACTTTCTGCTGAATATTTACTTAGAGCTATGGCATGAAGTCTTCTAACAGATTTAATGTTTGGGTTTATTTTAACATATATAATTTGCACTGATTGGCTTTGATTATGAGCCATTGATTCTGTTTTCTTGGCAGTAGGAGGGGGGTGTTGATTTTGTTGATTTATCCTTCTCATGCAGCCCTTTGCACTCAGTGATATAAAAAACATACGAATAGTCCTCCTGGATTAGGTCGAAATCCATCTTAATCCAACATTTCATTTCTCAATACTAGATGCTTCTGTGCACTTACAATCATGAAACGGACATGCCCCTCTTCCCCCGAGTTCCTTTGCATCTGGTGTTTGGAAGGTACTTCCACAACTTTCTTCCAAACGAATAAGCCTATGATAGGCCTACCTCCAGGAATCCCCTTTTAAAGCCGTGCAAGTTAATCATATCATATCTTGTGGTGGTGAATTCCACAGAGTACAGTCTGTTGTGAAGTATTGCAAGGAGGGACTGTTGACAAAACCCAGGGAAGGACATTGCTGGATCAAAAGCCCTTCTGTTAACGAAAGACTGTTTCTTTTTGTAGAAGGGGTATCTGGACTGCAGTTCTGACACCTTTACCTGGGAGTAATTCTTACAAAATACATGTAGTTTATTCCTGTACCAAGAAGACATTTTCACCTCTCAGCTAACAAACCTAATTCTGTTGTTCTTCCGAGCAAAGATTTTGTTGGTTCAAATTATAATATTTGAATTTATTTAATTATTTATTTAATAAACAATTTAATAAATATTTTATTTTTATTTTATATTAATTATTACAATATTAAATTATATTATTTATATGTATGCTTATAATATTAAATTATAAATTAAATTGAAATAATATTAATTATTTTATATTATATAAATTATATAAATAATTTACTAATTAATTAATTATCAGTGAGGAACAAATATGTTTATATATAATTCAGTTTACAGATAGAAAATACTGAATAATTTATTCAGTAATGAAACTGCTTCTATTGAAATATTATCACTAAACTTAAGTCAAGTTATAATAGTGATGTATAATGGAAGCTCTCTGGCCCTCAAAGGTTCATCATTCACTGAAATGACGCAGGCAGTTCCATGTTTGCTATCCTATAATTATTTGCAGTTTGAGACCTAACTCTTGTAAAATGGAAGGCTTTTTAAAAATTTTGTGTCATATATTACAGCTAAACAAGGTCATTTTAAATAGAAATACTTTTAGAATTAGTATTTCCTTTAGTAGAGATGCTAAAAGTAGAGATACTAAAATGTATGCAAAAGGTAAAGTTTTTCTTTTTCTTTTTTATAAAAGATACTGTCTTATGTTTATTTATTTATTTATTTGTTGGATTTCTCCCCCCGCCCATCTCCCCCACAATAGGGGACTCTGGGCAACTGTTGGGTGAGCCCACCGCACAAATATATTACTAGCTTCACTTTTTAGCTTAAGTAGATTTTTTTAAACAAAATCCTATAAATTATACACAAATATAATAAAATAGCCCTGAGAAGACTTAGAAATTTAATGTCTATCCCTTTAGAAGAGATCCACATTGAATTTGTCTTTCTTTTAAAATACTGCTTTGGAGTATCAAATATTAAGTTACAATTTTTACATACTATTATATTTCATTTTTAAATCTCTGTATTATTGTAATGGGTAGATTATAGAAAACAGGTAAATGAAAAAAAATGTTGATACAAAGTGTTTTGGAATGAGATTTTATTTTGAAAAAAACCCTCTCTTTTTTCTTCTGTAAATATGTCTCTGTGCCTGACTTTTTAGAACAGCATTCCACCCTGCCCCCCACTCCCCCAAGGTCTGCACGGCCCCAATCCTGCTGTCTTTTAGTAAGGACTTAAGACCTGACTCTTCCTGAAGACACTGGGCTGGGACAGTGCATGAAGTGTAACACACTTTGAATCTGTCTTCCCCAGTATGGTGATTATATTGTTGTGATGTTTTAGTTTTTTCTATTTTGATGTTTTTAACCCCCTTGTAAGCCACCCAGGATCTCTAGGGGAATAGGCAGCCTTAGGAATTGAATAAATAATAATAATTTATTTACTATATTGTTTTCTATGCCAAGCATCATGAAGCAAGTTAGTCAGAAATAAAATGCATAATAAAACCCTACAATAAAACAATATAAAACAACATTAAGTAAAACCTATTCATGGAGAGGGGAGAATTACAGAGTATGCTTTTATTGTAACAAACTTTTGCAAAAGAGTACAGGTAGTCCTCACTTAATGACCACAATCGGAACTGGAATTTAGGTTGCTAAGCAATGTGGTCGTTAAGTGAATCATCACATGATTGGACCTGATTTTGTGGCACTTGTTAAGTGAATCACTGCTGTTGTTAAGTGAACCGCATGGTTGTAAAGCAAATCATGTGGTAATTAAGTGAATCATGCTGTTCTTCATTGATTTTACTTGCTGGACGTCAGCTGGAAAGGTTGCAAATGGTCATCACATGACCCTGGAACACTGCAACTGTCATAAGTGTGAGCTGGTTACCAAGCACCCGGATTGTGATCACATGGGCGCAGGGGCACCGCAACAGTCTTAACTTCAGGCACCGGTCGTAACTCACTTTTTTAGCACTGTTGTGACTTCGAATGATTGCTAAACGAACAGTCGTTAAGCGAGCATTACCTGTATTTCCGTTGTGAATGTCCTAAATCTCAGGGTTTTTTCCCCCCTGTAGGTATGTTTATCATAGTTCCAAATGGATGGTAGCTGGCAATGCTGACTCACCTGTGCCTGCCCGTGTGTACATTCATCCGGATTCACCTGCCTCAGGAGAGACTTGGATGCGGCAAGTGATTAGCTTTGACAAGCTGAAGCTTACAAACAATGAACTGGATGACCAGGGTCATGTGAGTTTTTTATATTTTTTTTTTTCCAGCAATGTTAGCATGAGACAGTCACTTTTAAAAATAAAGGGTCATGTGAGTTTTTTATATTTTTTTTTTTCCAGCAATGTTAGCATGAGACAGTCACTTTTAAAAATAAAGGGTCATGTGAGTTTTTTATATTTTTTTTTTTCCAGCAATGTTAGCATGAGACAGTCACTTTTAAAAATAAACAAACAGACCTTTGGACTTCATGTTAACAAAAAATGATGGATTTAGCAAAGCTTATGTCAGCTTCTGCTAATAAATGGTTTCATATTTTGCTACATCAGTGAATTAGTAATAGGTTGCCATTTATTTTAGATGTCTCTTTTGGACCTTTGGACAGAAACAAAACTGAACATATGAAAATGATCAAAACTGAAAGTACAGAACCACGAGTATACTTTGCCTTTCTCTATATAGTTGATGGATCTTAAAAAAGAATAGTGAAAAAGCATAGACTATAAATCCTTAAAATAAGAGTTCTCAACATACAGAAATCATAGATGCACTGAAGAAAATGTAACTCATGATTTTATAAAATAATTTTTGCAAAGATCCCATGAGGTTTATGCGGTACTCAGAAGGAACAACATGAGAGCTGTGTTCACTCTGATAATGATTTATTACCTACCTTATACAGCAAGACCTTTTCACAGCTGAAGTTCATTACATCTGCAAAACTGGAAGGGAATTGTGTAGTTTAACTGTTCTGTTTGAAAGCTCTAAATTGTTTAGTTATGACACTAGCTCATTTGATAATATGTGCTATAGGAATATTTCCATACTTTTCAAACAAGGAAAAAAAGGAATACAGATCAGTGTCTTTAAAAATGCTTAAATACATATCACAAGTTGGTAAATTATTATATAAAATGGTTTTGAGTTGAGCATTTTTGATCATATATTTTCAAAAATTCAGAAAAAGGTAACTACATAGACTTTAAAAAATAGGCTGCATTTTGGAGGTACGTAAGGGCCTTTTTAAGAAAGTTAGAAATTCAGGTTCTCCCTTGTGACTGCATTTTGTGGAAGCAGGGATTTGTATGTTACCCTAAATCTATTTCAACTTGCAGTTCTAGTTGAAATACAATTTAGATTGAGTATTATATTGAGTATTTTAAGTTAAATTTAAATGTTGTAATTTTGCTTGATAAACTATTAATCTAATCTATACTGTTACAATGGAGGGATGATACTGTTGAATATCAGATATTAGGAAATGGCTTATACAAATGAAATTGAGTTCTAGAGAGATGGATTATTAATTGACATAAGAATAGCTGACATAATTCTGGAAAATCTATATGAAATTTTGATATTCATTAAATTCATATTATGATTATGTCTTGTTTTACCTCCTTGCCTTGTCTTATTAACAGTGCAGAGGTACAGATTACCTGTATCTTCAGGTCAGTGTTAGGCAAGATTAATTGTGGCTGGGAATTGGCACTACTAACTTAATTCTTTTGTAAATGATCTTTTAGATGACAATGCATTTTTGTAAGACAGTTAAAACTAAATAATTCTTAATGTAGTTTATTCCTAAATTAATGAAGTTTGATTCTGTGAGATCCTCAAATGAATCAAGGGAATCAAATAAAAAAGGAGTCAAGAGCAATACATAGAAATTCCTATCATTTTGGCAGGACTGTTAGATATCTGCATCTAATTTAAACAGGAGTAGAGAGAGTGGCCTCAAATGTCAATGGTATGTTTTAGACAAAAGCTATAGTCTTATCAAACGCTGCTTTAGTGTAGTCATTTTAAATGAATTTATTCAGAAGCAGCACTTGGAAAACTGCTGAAATTGCACTTTATTCAGCAAAGGGTTCACCCTCACTCTGCAGTTGACCATAAATGGCATGAATTGATTGCCCACAATAATTTTCATTGACCATACAGGTATTCAAACCTCTCCGAGATGGATAACAACACAGCCATCCTCAGGATAGGTGCAGAAAACAAGTTTTCACATTGAGAGGGTTTACTTAAGTCCTTTTTGAATTGAAAACTATATAAACCTTGCAATGTATTATTCATATTGTGGAATGCTTTAGAATTACTGAAATGTCCTGCATTAATGAATACCTCAGTTTGGAAGAAAGTCAAGTAGCTTTCTTCTGGATCAATTAAAAACATATACACCCAATTGATTCAAAACTAACAATTTGAAATTTGAGATAAAAGTTTATATAAAAAAATTGAGATTTGAAAGAATGTCATTTATTGTTACCCAGTCAGAAATATAAAATGGAGAAAGACTATTCTAAAGTATATAGTTTTAATTATTTAGCCACCATGACTGAATGAGAAAGTATTTTGAGATGGTGGAATTATTGCACGTTGAACAAATCACAAGGGATTATGTGTCTTATATAAATAAAGAGATGAATATTGGTACGATATTGTATATATTAATGCTGTTATAAGCTTGCAGATACATTAAATGTTATATAATTTCATTGGAGCTTTTAAATATATTATTTAAATAATAGAATATTTTATACCTTGTTATAAATGTTTATTATCTAGAAGCAGACTGGATTTAATGCCAAAATACTCCAATATACACTGTTCAGACTTGTCAGGGTAAATGTGATTGTTTGATAAATACATATTTACCATTTATACTTTCAATGTCTATTATTATTATGCTGTGGATATTTTAGTGTATTGATGTTGAAAGCTTCTGAGAGTTTTTAATAAATAATTCTCAATTTGAAAATATAAAAAACAGTAAATTTTGCCTGATCTGAAACATAGGAAATTAAAAATAGTTTAAATTGCCCATTCATTTATATACCATTTTCATCAATTTCATCTAATTTTAATACTTTCAAGAGGTATTTCCTAGTATTGGGAATTATGATCTTTACAATGACTTGCAAAGACATATTTTCAGAGATGAAATCATTTATCTCTTTATATTTAGAAGACCTGTTAATTAAGTTTAATAACAATAATACTTACAAAGCAGTCTAATCCCAGTTAGATTGCTGCTTACTTTTACAAAAGACTATGTCAAATGTAATAGCACCTTTGGATAGCTTTAGAAAATATGACATATTACCATATTTATTGGACTTTCAAAATCTGTGTATATTTATATATTATTCTTTTTCTTTTTTCTGGAGTCAAATGCCAGTAGAACAGAATTTTAAGCTGAATGTTTTTCATTTTCATATAGGCTGAAAATTATTTGTAATATCAATTAAACTGTTTCTCCACTTGGCATTTCTAAATTTGTTTTTCCCATATAATTTTATAAGTTTCATAAAATAAATACCTGAGCCATCCTTAATACAGTGCATATTCATAGTTGAACTAATGGAAGTTAAAAATGTACAAATTAGAGTAAATAATCTTGTTCTTATTTCACTGAGCCAAAGAATACCGATGCCTCCTTTTGTATTTACAGTACTTATTGACACACTATTTTCTTCTCCCAAATATACCAAAAAGAAAAAAAACTTTGCCTTTTCTTTCCTTCTGTAATTTCTTTGTTTATTATTGTAAGATTTATTACATTCTTCCATCAGCATAAAGCAAATTATTTTACTGGTATTAAAAAAGTAGCTTGTTTATTCACTGCATTATAAATCATTAATGTGCTTATTACTAAAATTATTGTACCTGTTTTTGAAATATTTTTCTGTATTCTCTCTTCCTTTAACAGTTCCCAAATTTTTAACTATAGTCTCAGTGGAAAAAAGCCTGTTTCAGTCATGGTTATGAAAATATAATTGAAAGCATAAAAGAGGCATTAATAAAAAAAACCAGTTAAAAATACCAACATACTAGTATATATCTTTTTAAATTATGCACTTTCTTCACTTGTAGTTAAGATCAGTACCACAATGCTCTGGTAATCTCAGTGTTCCCCCTTCACCATAACCCACATTTTAAGCAGTCTTACACTTATCCTTTGCCTTTCAGAAAAATAACCAGTTTTTCCTGCTGAATATCTATAAATTTTATTCTGTTTCCCACCCTCAAACCTTTTAGGAGAGATGTTTTCATGTGACCAACTCTGCCTTGGCGCATCATTGATAAACTCCTGACAGAAGTTTGGACAATTCATAACATTGCTTATTCATCAACCAATTGGTATCTTCAAAATATTCCCCTCTGCCTCAGAAGACAAGAAGTTAGCTGGAGCCAAGGACAGCATGTTGCTGTCCCAGTAAACTAGTATGTCAGGACATCAAGGGCTGATTTGTACTAAAGACCATTAGCAAGGAAAGACTTTGATTTTTAAATCTTCAGTCCAACACAAAATTAGGCATTCTAAACTAGATAAACTCCAGTTGAAAACATTTGAAAACAAATGTTAATTTTCAATGGCATGCGTTGTCTGAAAATGTACATATGTACTGTTTCTATGGTTCTAAATGCGGAATAATTGCTAGTGTTGATCCTGCAGATTTGCATATTTAGAAATTGCAGAGCAAGTATAAAATTATGTCTAGGATGAAAAGATTAAAATAGAGTCCTATTAGATTAGACCAACAAGTCCTCTAATGTAGTATCCTATTTCCCATAATCCCCAGTCAAGATGCCTACCTCTAAAGAATGTGTTCAGTCTGCACTGTTTGGCCACAGTAGAGCTGTGTAAGATGTATGTTCTGTAGTTAAACATTTATAACTGAATACATTTTATAGAAACCTAAAGTAATATTTATAATCCAGATTTAGCTGTAATCCTGATTTAGTTCCTTGGAGTGACTCCAACTGAACTTCGTAGTGCATAGTCTTGAATAATACCATTGAATAAAAAAAATTTTTACAGTAAGGGTGAATGTCTACCAACAAAGCAAGGTCATGGTAACGAAAATTAGAAATGGGGACACAAATACAAGTTGAGTGTATAGCTTTCAAGCGTCTCTTGAAAGCTGTAAATTTCTACTCTAAAAATATCTATGTATTGATTATTTTATTTTTGTAGAAAGGCTAGAAATTCAGCAATTTGTTCATTATTATCCGTGCAGACACACTGTCTTGAAATTCTAAATCTGTGAGGCACGACAGATGTAGCACAGTAGTATGGTCCTTGATATCACAGATATGCTGATTAAATTTGGTTTCTTGTTATGCTGGGTGTTTTACAAATACTTAAGTGCTGCTTGCATGAAAAGAGATTTAGTGAAGTTTGGTATCTTTTACCAGTTTATTTGTACTTTACTCTGATTTTCTTGCTTTACCTTATCTAGATTAGTAAAAATTGAAATAACGTAAATGCATTTTAGTTGGACATTTTAACTCTTGTGGATGTGTTATATTGTGAAGATACAACATAATCATCATGCTGATTTCTACCAATTTCTCCCTTGATCTGCATACGTTTGTGTTGCAACTGTACCACTTCTAAGCATAACCAAAAGATTTTCAGGAATATGCAAAAGGAAGGGGAAAGCAGGAGGTTTGAAATATAGTTAGGATTGAAACTGCAGTATAGTATTAGAAATTGAGAAATACTCTTAGGCTTTTTATGGTGAACTTTAAAAAATATTATTTCAGTGTCAATTTTTTTTTATCTCAGTTATAAATACACATTCAGGAATATATCCTATTGAAATGAGGGATACTTATTTCTAATCCTGAATATTACTCTAACTTGAGTGAACTTTGCACAATTGTAACAGACCATTTTTGTACACATTATGGCCATGCCCAGTACTTTTTAGCATAAGAAAGAAACATAATAGTTCAATTTGTTAATTTCATCCAGAAGGCTTTGACATGAAAGTAAGTTCAAACTAAGTCCCATTAATTTTGTTGAAGCTTATACCCAAGGTATTGCCTTCATGAAAATGAAGGGGGAAGTTCCTATATACAGTGATTTTTATTTTTCAGATTTTTCTTGGAAACAATAGCCCACAATGCATTGGCCTCTCATTCTTAGAGGGAAGATTGTATCTTTCCTTCTAATTTCTCCAACCAATCCCAGAATTCTCTTGTACTGAGAAGAAATCATTTATCAACATTGCACCATCTGGAGATGTCGGGTTATTAACATTGTTTTGTCAAGTCAAAATCTTTGGCCAGTTATTGCTGTAAGACAACCAGTGGCGGTACTTTTTTTACAGAAGTCTGTTGGCAAATGAGTAACAACAAAAATAATCCCTCATTGTGCAAATGAGTCTCTAGATGGAAAAATAAATAAATAGCTTTCCATATGGATAGTGCCAAAAGCATTCACACTCACTCATTCCCTTCTCTCTCTCACACACAAAGAAGTGTATTAACATTTTCAGAATTATGGGGTGATTTCTTCTTCAATGCAATTTTACCAAAGCAGTATAAAACATCCAAAAATATCTAGAATACTTTTGAAATGTTTACTTCAGCAGAATGATTGTTAATATCTTGTTCTGTATAAAGATGCAGATGTTGGGGAAAGTATATGGGGGAAACTTATCTAAGCATTTTTGGTGTGCATCTGATATAACTGTCAAAAATGAGAGTTCAGTGTAATGGAAGTTTACGTATATGGAGTTTTGCTTATCCAAAAGAGTGTCACTTTCCCAAGTGAGGAGTGATTTCATTTAAAAGTATCCTAATTATAGCCAAGACTTTCGTTTTTTTTTTCAAACATAAAATCGTTCCATTTTTGGGCACAATAAGATTTCATGGTATTTGGCATTCAATAGGATATCATAAATGGAAGCTAGGGAAGGATATGCAATGCTGAATTTAATATTTTTTGGCCAATAATGAAACAGGAAATTAAAAATTTTATTCATTTTAATTTGATACTCTTGGCTGGTAGCCATCAAACTTCAAAACAAAACGAACAACTTTTACAAATGTCATAGATAAATTTTTGATCTGAAGCAAATTCAGATGCACCCTAAAACTGATATATTTTCTCCAGAAAATTTTGAAAATTATGATTCATAAGATATGAAAATATTGCCATGTTTGCTCTAGAGGTTTCACATGAAGAATTTTGAACTAAGGAAGGAACAAAAAGAAATGAGTTTTCAGAGATCTAGTGGACTTTATATAGTCTGATGGATTCTGTGTTTTACAACTCTTTTTTAGGGATATTGGGCAATCAAGAATCTGTATTGTCTAAATGAAAATATTTCTAACTCCCTTTGAGGCCTGCTGAGTCTTTGTACTTTCAGTTTTTAACTAGGTCATTGAGCTTTTAGTTTTGCCACTCAATTTCCATTTGCTTTTGCTTTGCTCAACCTCAAAGTTCATTACCAATATGTTACAGTGAGTCTACATACATACACACACACACACACATGAACAGTGGCTATTCTAATTTTTTATAACAACTTTCCCCAACTCAGTGTTCTGCAGTTATTTTGTACCTCAACTCCAACAATTCCTAAATATCATGTGGACTGGGAATGATGAATGCTGAGGTTCAACACTTCTGTGATACTAGATGGGGAAATTACTGCACCATGAAGGAAACTTAATATAGAAAAGCCAGCTGAGGGCTATAGGATTCGTTTGAAAACTTGCTATCTGGATGAATACACTGAGATTTCATCAATGAGCTAGGAGATAGAATGAAAAAGGGGAATAAGAGAGGAACAATGAGTGGACAAAGAGAAGTCCTGTTTGAATACTGGCAAGGAAGACTGGCATATTTGCAGGGTGGGTAGGAATTAGTTTCATGAATAGTCATGAGTAGATTGTTTGAAGCATTAGTCTGGAGTACTTGTATGCAGATTTATTATTTGGGGTTAGAATCTTCTTTGCAGGATTGCCTGCATTCTCTATCAAGCTTTGTGCCTTCTGCCTATGCTTGGGGGGGTGGGGTATGTGTTGACTGTCAGGCTTAGAATCAATTGGGCATCCTTCTATTTTGGTTGGAATGGATCAACTCTCTAACTTTTGTAGTTGTGTGAACCTCATTTGTACCATGTTTTTAGACTGGTGGCCACAGATGCTGGCAGGCACATGCCAAAGATGCTGAGAACATAGCTAGCAGTTCTGGTCTAAGGGGATCTAAAGGATATGATGACTATCCCACTATAATGTAGCAGTGAGATATCTTTGATTCTGATTAAATTACAGTCTAAGATTTCCTCTGCCTGTGATCTAGGTTATGCTATCCTAATGCAAAGATTTTTAGGATGACACGGTCCCCTTCGTATTCTTACGACAGTAATAGTAAGAATTTTTTTAAATGATTGTATACTGTATAATAAGTGAAAGATGAAATTATTCCTTGTAACTGGATATATTCAGTAGCTGATTAATATTACTTCATGATTTCTTCATGATTCATCATGAAGTTCTAGAATATTTCTGAAAATCTTTAGCCTAATCTGGACAGAATCAGCTTCAGTCCAACAACCCTCTTTTCTTTTCAGTGTATGCTTATTGCTTCTGATGGGTTAAAATCATCATTCAAAGCATCCTATTGAACTGAAGCTGACTAATTTTGAGATTCAGCACAGTATATTTGCTTTGCCCCAGAATAAAGCAAGATAGGCTTAAATATTATTATATTTAAAATATTTATGTAGAAGAAACAGGAAGAAAACTAGTTCTTTCTTTCTCTTTTTAAATATAGATAATTCTTCATTCTATGCATAAATACCAGCCACGTGTCCATGTCATTCGAAAAGACTGTGGAGATGATCTCTCCCCAGTCAAAGCCATTCCTTCTGGGGACGGTGTGAAGGCATTCACTTTTCCTGAAACTGTTTTCACTACTGTCACAGCATACCAGAACCAGCAGGTAACTTTTGTTTTATTTTGTTTTAATGCTGATGGCTCATTAGGATGGACATTCATTAAAGTCTAGACAAACAGAAGAAATTCTGTTTCTTGGCAAACAGAAAAAAAAAAAAAAAAAAAAGCCATTTAATAAGGGGAGGGAGGGGGAAGTGCATCCAGACTTGCAAAATTCTGTTACTATAGCTTTACAATAAAAGCAGTACTGACCTACATGATATTGAATTCCTAGTCTGATCTACTTTGAAGGGCTGACAGGAAGGGAAGATCGAAAACTGTACTGAGTGGATACACCACTGTCCCCTTCAAGGCAGCTGGTATCAGTCCATCTCCCAAAGAAGCATTAGTCACCTCTTGAATCCAACTCTACACCCCTCTCCTGGCTGCCCAGAGGAAGTAGATGAGAAACATATCCAGCCTGCAAGTAGTAGAACTTATGCTACAGAAGTCCTTATCCACTTTCCCAGACTCTACAAACTCAAAGGGATCCCAGATGACATCATAAGATGCTGCCCCCACTCATCATGCTCAGAGCAAATATGAGCAATTATACCTGCAAAACGCCTAATCAACATGTTAGAAAGGTATCATCCTGCACATTCTTCCCCAACCAGATATGAGCCACCACGTAGAGAACCATGGGATAATATCTGCGGGTGCAGTAAAAATAGAGAGATACAAATGCTTTGTTGCTCTTTCCACAACATTCTTAACCTGGGCATGGTCAATTTAATTTACACAATAGAACAACATGCATTTGAACACAGTATTAGATGTTCATTATTTAAAATAACTGGCTGAAATGAAGTCAGAAGGCTGCAGTTAATTCTCTCTTTGTTCACAAATGTATATGCCAAGAGCATTTTCACCTACCAGTGGATCTCTGTAGCCTCCAAAGAATAAGAATGGAATTTAACAACTGGATTTTGTATTTCCCAAAATGAGAGAGAGTACCTAACATGCATATTCCTTGTTCCTGACAAGTTTTGGAGAGTCTGTACTGTAAGTGAATATAACCTGATAAGTCTATTTTGTATGTCCTGAGAGTGCCATCACTTGTTCTAAGACTGACCTATCATAGAGATGGCTCAGTCGTCAGCCATAATTTCCTCTCCCTGCTTTTCTTTTTAAACAAACATACAGACTAATAAGATGGTGAGTTCTTAGAAATGTAATAGCTTACAACTCTTTTGTTAACCAGGATAACACAAACTGGTTAATCAGGATAACAAAATCTTTTGTTAAGCAGAGTAACGAAAACAAAGTCTTTTCTGAACCAGGGTAGGCCATGTTTTGGCAGGCAAGGACCAAATTCTACATTTGGCAAGAATGCTGGGTCATGTTGATTATGCAAATAGAAGAGACCTAGACTTGTTTTTGTTTTCCTGGGTTTGGGAGAAGAGTTTTGAGGTCTTTGTTTTTTAAAGTTATTTTCTTCTGTCTTTACATTTTACATATGTTTCCTTGCTTGAGAATGGCACATAACCATACCTCCAGATTTCATCCATTATGGTCTGGGAGCCATAAAAAAATGTGCTCGTAGTCTGCATGTAGCAGTTGCTACCACAGTTGTAAGTGCAAATAGCATTGCTTCAATATGGATTTTAAATTAGAGGCTAGAATGGTGTTTTGTGCTTTTGAAGACCCATTGATACGCTCTGGTCAGGACACAGATTCAACTCTGGCTCTTCACTGTTAATCGCGGAAAACCACCCATGGTAAAAATGGGTCCCCCACTTCAAAAGTCACATCCAGCTGCATATGCTTTTATAAGACCGAAACTGAAATGGATGCTCTTCCTCATTGTCTTGTGTAACTCTTACACAAAACATCCAAATCCCACTTACAAGCCTTTGCAGTTTTAACTGTATTTTATCCATTGTATTTATTTTATTTGTAGTTTAATGTTATCTACTTATTTATGTTGCCCTTGGAAAGCCATATGACTCCTAAGCCAGCTTGAAGCAGTAAGTCATAGACAATAAAAAAAAAAAAAAATCACTAAAGCACAATTTAAATCCAGAAATGCCAGCCATTAAAGCACCCCATAGTGGAAAAAAACTCTTAGATGTTGAAAGTAAAATCAGCAATAAAACCATTTTGAGGAAGCCTTGAAAAATTAAATAGGCATTTAAGGATCTGTTAAAAGCGGTTAGTGTAGTTGGTGTAATACAAGTTTGATGGACCTCGAAAGATAACCCATTCCGTAGGTGTGGCTCTGATTAGTTGCTCATTAATAACTGCAGAAAAGACTCTTTCACTTGGATTACCTAGTTTACAGCCTTCAAAAATATACAAAAAAACCTAAATTATCTTAAAGCATAAGCAGATTAATACAGTTGAATGCTGTCCTTCAGTTATATTGTTTCTAAGCCATTCCCTCCTGTTTATTTAATAATTTTACTCCACATTAAAAAAATTGATGTGGCAACAACTTTCAGAAAGGCTCTTGGGACTTCATGTATGTATTTTAGGGCTGTTTGCAAACTGCAGTTACAGGTTATGCACCCTTGATATAAGGGTTTAAAGACCAAAACCAACACTTTGAATTATGCTCAGAAACATGATTGTAACAAGTGTAGTTGGTGTAATGTAAGAGTTACGTATTCCTGCTACTTGGCTTTATGAACACTTGCATCATCTTGAAAAACAGCTTCATCACAGTAGTTTAGCCTGGAGATTATTCTTGCATGGATAATTAAGGTTGACTCTTGCTCTCTCCACATTGAGCTACAGCTGGTGCAACAGTTTAAGCTGATAAGCATTTCTGGACAGCACAGCTATACAAATTTTCAATTAACATTGACTTCAGAAAAATTTCCCAACTTTCATTTAATTTAATATTTTAATTATTTAATTAAATTTAATATTCCTAGAGAACTTGCAACCACATAATCAGAGTCATATAGTTGGAAATAAACTTTAAAGGTAATCTAGTCTAACCCCCACTCTGCAGGATCCATACAGCATCTCGGACTGCAACAACATGTGGGAAAGACCTTGGGAGACTGGGCCAAGAGACACTGCCAAGGGAATGGTCAGATAAGACCGTATAGCCCACAGCTGGATAGTGGGTGGGGCAAGAGGTTCAGAAGAGACCCTCCCTAGTTTCTCAGGCTGTAAAGGAGACGGGGGGGGGGG